CTTTATATTAACAGATTAATACAACATATATGTATTTTATTATTATAGATACTTATAAAAATTTTATTATTATACTTATATACACCCATGGGCTCCCCATTGTCACCTGTTTTGGCCGACATTGTTATGCAAGACTTAGAGGAGGAGACGATTGGTCGGTTAATTTGTAATCTGAGGTTTTACTACAGATATGTGGACGACATTTTATTGGCGGCGAATGGGGATGAATTGGAGAATATTCTTAGCGGTTTTAATTCAATACATGAGAGACTAAATTTTACCTTAGAAACTAGTACAGACAACCAAATTAGCTTTTTAAATGTTTTAATTATTAACGATAATAACAGACTCATTTTTGATATATACCATAAACCTACTTTCTCAGGGAGATATCTAAATTTCCATTCCCAACATCCGTTGATACATAAAAAGGGTGTCATCATAAATCTAGTGGATAAAATTTTTCGGCTATCACATCCTAAATTTCAGCAAAAAAATTTAAAACACAATTTCGATTTTGCTAAATAATTGCTACCCTTTAGAATTTATTTTTTCTACTATTAATAAAAGGATTCAATTCTTACTACATAATAATAAAAATAATACATCTCAATTTAAAGAGGGAGGAACCAAATTTTTCATAATTCCATATGTCAACAATATATCCGAAAAACTTACGTCAGTTACTAAAAAATACAATTTTAATACTGCCTACTATTGCAATAATCGATTAGACAAATTTATAAAAACTGGCAAAGACATCCTTGATCCTATGCAACAAAGCGGAGTTGTCTATAAAATTTCGTGCCATGATTGTGATGCCTCTTATGTGGGCCAAACAAAGAGACAACTTCGAACTAGAATCAAAGAGCATCGCAGTGACATCGATAAAAGATCTGGTTCTCCTTCTACCATTTCGAGCCACAGATTAGAGCACAATCATGATTTTAAATGGGATCAAATCGAGGTTTTGGATAGAGAACCATCTTATAGCAAGAGATTAATTTCAGAAATGTTACACATAAAAAAGCAACAGAATAGCCTTAATAAACAAAGTAACACGGAATTCCTTCCTAACTCTTACCTACCCATTCTTCGCAAATTTCCCTCCTTTTAGACTCTCTCCAGATCCCCCTCCTTTTCTCCCCTCTTCCATATTCCTTCCTCCCCTCCTCTTTTCCTTTAATAGATCGGCTCCTTTTCCTTCTACCAAAAATCTTTTCTCACTTCAATTTCATCCTTCATTTACCTGACATATATCTGAATGGACATATCAAAAAGTTTTTATTTTATCCTTAAGGACTTCAATGTTCTAATCGGACACCATAACATTTTTATCAGACGTTTTAACATTTGGACTTTCTTATATTCAACTGGTTTTGAGGTTGAAGGTAAATATTGCTCTGTTTTTCTTTCATTTTATATGACTAACGGTTTTCTATTCATGTGTTGGGTTAAAATCGTTTCACATTTTTATAATAGTCTTTATTTTTATTTCTTTTATTCATCTTTCTCATAGATTGACCGATCATTTGTCTGCTTTTCATTATTTGCAATCTGTTAAGCATAAGGAAAAGAAAGAAAAAAGAAGAATGTCTTTTGAGCGTTGCTGTGCATGTCGCAT